TGTGTAATTGAGCACATATATTTGGATACTATATATAGTTGTAAGCATATATTTTGTGTATAATGCTCTGTAGTACTCGTGGAGCTGCACAAATCGAGGCGCTTGTAGAATCATCAAACCACGAAATCGAAGAACTTGTAAAATTACATCGATTGGTGTAAAAATAATTACTTATACATAGGAAACAATATATAGTACTATGTTATGTCTATATTAGTCATTACAATACGATACATAAATTACATATATTCAATACAATTAAGTATTTAATTCATAATAGTTGATTATACTTACTATTAACATGTGATTGATCAATAGCAAATTATTTCAGTAACATTGACACAAAAGCAGTTAGTAGAACAGCATAAGATATGTATGTATATATATACTTGTGTAAAACTTGCTATATCCCTGTACAGAAATGTACAAGCGATATCATTTTAGGATTATTTCCGATTCTAGGTTGATTTTCGATGTTTTGTTCTTCGATATGTTGAAGTAATATCTTTACTCATATGAACTCTCATCACTCGTAATGTGTTGCACAGTCCCGCGCATTGAGTAAGTAATCGAACGATCAATTTCTGTAAACCTTATTATATGACTTTTTTTCATCTTTAAAATAACGAAGACATGTTACAAAATACATATTACCAAATTAAATTATATATATATATATATTAAAGTACATATTATCCAATCAAATTATATATATGACAAATTAAAGAATAAAATCTTATATAAAAACACTTCTTACTTACAATACGATAAACTTTTATATTTTACTGATAAGTATTTTTATGTAAAAACTGACTTTATATAAAACCTACTTTTTATGTAAAAAATGATCTTCATACCCTACGATTAACGGAAACATAAGTAAGACAAACGTAAACATCAACGTAAAATAATATACATATAGATGACAATGTAATCTTTATTAAAAATCTTTATTAAAATCTTTATTAAATCTATTAGCATATATGTAATGCTTTAACAAATACTCCAAATGCTTCCTGTGACATATTGTATAAATATTCCAAATGCATATATATATATAT